GGAATTCAGAAATTCTAGAAAATCAGAAATTCAGAAATTCAGAAATTCTAGAAAATCAGAAATTCAGAAATTCAGAAATTCTAGAAAATCAGAAATTCAGAAATTCAGAAATTCTAGAAAATCAGAAATTCAGAAATTCAGAAATTCTAGAAAATCAGAAATTCAGAAATTCAGAAATTCAGAAATTCAGAAATTCAGAAATTCAGAAATTCAGAAATTCAGAAATTCAGAAATTCAGAAATTCAGAAATTCAGAAATTCAGAAATTCAGAAATTCAGAAATTCAGAAATTCAGAAATTCAGAAATTCAGAAATTCAGAAATTCAGAAATTCAGATATTCAGAAATTCAGAAATTCAGAAATTCAGAAATTCAGAAATTCAGAAATTCAGAAATTCAGAAATTCAGAAATTCAGAAATTCAGAAATTCAGAAATTCAGAAATTCAGAAATTCAGAAATTCTAGAAAATCAGATATTCTAAATTTCGGAATTTTAAAGGATTCAAAACTTCTTCTTCCATTTTTTTTCAAATTTTTAATATTCGGTACTCCAAGTTCTGAAAATTCCAAATTCTTAAATTTCTAACAATCTGAACCTCCAGATGACGTTACTACCATCTCCATACATCAATCCTTTGCTGTTTTTCTCTCGAGAAGAACCACCAAAAATTTGTCGGATGGCCTTGTGGATATCGTATAATACACAAATCGAAAGTAATGTTTTGGAGAAAGAGAAAAAGAAGAAGAAGAAGAAGGAAAACGGAGAAAAATTCGGAAGAGACAATCTTTGGGATCACAGATGACGTGGCTTAATCGGAAACCGAAAATCGGAGAACTTTCCCGAAGAAAGTTATGGAGGTGAAAACAATGATAAGGAAAAGAAGAGAAAATGAATAATAATAATAAGAAGAAAAAGTTCAAGGACAGGAAAATTTGTTATTCGAGGAAGAAGAATAGATACCGTAGTTCTCAACTTTGACTAGATTTATTATATCTCATTTCCTGAGAAAGATATCAAAAAGTAGTCAACTGACAAATTATTTATCATAGGATTAGCAACATTTTATTAGTTACCGAGATAGTAAAGCTGAAACTGGGCGCTGCTGAGCTACGCGCTTGGCGCCATCACTTGACTTGCTAGGTGACGTCCATTATCTCGGCTCCTATAATAAATATCAAAAAGTGGTCAATTGATAAAATGTTAACCATAATATAACAAATATTTTGTTAGTTAAACATTATTAGCTAGCTGTTACAGTAATCGAAATAAATTTGATTAAAGCTATCATTCTATTACAGGCTCCAATGCTCGCTACATCGTCCTACAAATGCGTTTCAAACTTGTTCGATTAATATGAAATTTTGCGCCAATACTAAACAAAACTAGAACTTCACTTTTGTAGTTGACAACTTTTTGCTGCAAATGTGCCCTCATGAGATATGCCACGTGGAGGACGCTGCTAGGTGGTGGCTAGCTAGGTGGCTAGAGGGCGGCTCGGTGGCGGCTGACGCCCTGTGGAAGTGCGCTCTATTGGATATCCTATCTTCGACTATTTATATCTCAGTTACTGTAAGAGATATCGAAAATTTCTAAACTTATAAAATGCTGTTGATATCATGATAAACATTTTGCTAGTTGAGCACTTTTTGATATCTTTTACAGTAACCAAGATATAGTCGGGCAAAGTTAACATGTCCAATAGAGCGCAATTTCGTCTTCACTGTAATTTTTGCATTTTCGAAAAGTTTGAAGTTTAGTTTTGGTTATTTTCAGTTTCCTGCCTTCTCTATGGTTTCTAGCTCGTCTATACAAGGATTTGAAGAGACAGCGAGACACTCTAGCTTCTCTCTCTCTCTCTCTCTCTCTCTCTCTCTCTCTCTCTCTCTCTCTCTCTCTCTCTCTCTCTTTCTCTTTCTCTTTCTCTCTCTCCCAAACAAATCCTGATCGCTTAGATCACCCATCGAGATTGATTAATTCATTTGCCATCGAGATTTGTTTTCCTTTTTTCATTCCCCCACCCCATCCCAAAAATGCAAAAAAAAAGGAAATTTAAATTTCTGATCGTATCTATTCTTCCCGTTTTCTCCATCTTGAGAATGTTGCCCTTTTCTCTCTCATCCCTATTCCCTTTTCACTTCAGGTATCCTAGGCATTTCTATACAAATTCCCCCCAGCGCAAAGAAAGCGAGAGGCTCCTCTCGGGATTCGTTGGGTAATACAATCGGAAGAAGAAGTACTAAATCACATGAGAATCATCGTTTTCTCTCCCCTACCATGATATACGATGGATTGCGTGATGATCGGCTAAGCATGTACAATTAGCAACTAGGTGGGCGATGGAGATTCGGGATCGCTTTGGATGACGAATCGCTGTTGTTGCTTCCGATTATGTCATCGGAGAGAGACCACAAGCTTATGAAATCATTCCATGTGATGATGATGAGGATAATGACCAGTTGGTTTTGGTCAAGGGCAGTGTGAACTTTGCGATCCAGGAATCTTGTGATGATGGCGCATAACTCACTTCAACATTAGAATTTTTGTTTGGTTTAAATATATAAATGTAGAGCTTGAAAAGATCTACAAAATGATATAAAAGTCAACTATTTTTGAATTCCGAGTTTTACAAGCCAAGCATAACACCGAACGTGCAGCTTCTCTCTGGCTTATAATTTTTAAACCAAACAAATTTGATACGATAGAAAAACTTAAGAGCTACAAAATGACACTACTTTATAAACTGTATCTTGTCTATGACTGGAGTTATAGGTCAAAAACGAATAGCGTTTCATGTCATTATTGCTATAAGCGAAGCCCACTTTTACGTGTTTTTGAGCTCAAGTATCTCGGTTCTTATGGGAGATATCAAAAATCTGTCAACTGATGAAATGTTACTGATAATATGATTAACATTTTATCAGTTTACAAAATTTTTATATCTCATAAAGGACCCAAGATAATTGAGCTCAAAGAACGCGGGCAGGTTGACTTCTATTAGAGTAATTACAGTAGCTTGGGTTCGCGGTCTCTGCTCGAAACCGCACAATTCACATATAGCTGAATTTAATATTATTTTGTAGTTCTCCTCAACTTCCATGTTTTACTTTTTTATTCGTTCTGAAATTCTAATTTTGTAGCGAGCTACGCTCCCCGGCGGACCGTTGGCGGACCATGGACGGCTTGCCACTTCAAGCGTCAAAAACCCGTAGCAAATGACTAGCCCACAACTATCAAAATTTTTACAGCTACTAAACAAAACTAGAGCTTCATTTCTGTAGTTGACAACTTTTTGCTGCAAATTCGCTCTCGTGAGATATGCCACGTGGCATGAGCCATCACCTAGCTACCATCTAGCGACGTAGCTTCTTCCACGTGGCATATCTCTCTAGGGCTCAATTAAAAAAAAGTGTCAACTACAAAAATGAAGTCTTGTTCAGTATTCTCTGAAAATTTCAAACTGCTAAAATGAGCGAAATTTCTCATTGGAGCGCGTTTACTTCTATTGAACAGACATGGTCTTACATTAGCAATATTAACTAGGTGCGCCTTGACCCCGAAAGCTTTTGTGGATTGTTAGCCACCGTGATCTAAGTTTTCTGGCCGATAGAAACAAATTTGGTCTTGTCTGTTTTGGCATAGCTTCCGCCTTTAAAGGTGTGGCTGAGATTTTCCAGTCTTGATCCAGGAAGTGTTTCGCCTTTTTTTGCCACCTCAACAACTTCTTCTCAAAAGGACGCAAGCCCCAATGCCACACGCTCCTTGTCCCCCTCCATCATTTTTTGTCCCTTTTATATCCCCCTTGTTCTCGGGTCAAGGCAAAGTGCGCTATTAGCATGCCAACATGTCCATTTGTCCATCTCATGTCCTTGGTAAAACTGACCTAGAAAAAATCATCATCACGCGAGACGACGCCAGCGCATCAATCCTCGGGATGGAAGAAGAAGAAGAACATATTTATATATAATAAGATAGATGTAAAGTGGGCGGAGCCTCCTCCCTCTCCGACATTGCGCAATCCACTTCTTCTTCCATCATCTTCTTCTTTCTTCTTCTGTCCAGGCTCGTCCCGGCACGGATCCCCGTACCAGGCACCCACGCATAGCTAAGAAGAAGAGGCGAAGACCACACCTCCTATAGTTCCCAAACATTCTTTAGTTTTTTTTAAAAGAGGTTTCTATGTTCCTCTCTATTGCCATCTTGTTCCCCCCGATCTGCTATCTAGCCTCCCCCGCGATCTCAAGGGGGCGGAGCATGCCCATGAGAAGTGGGCGGGGCCGAGAGAAGAGAAGGGGGGAGACGAGAGAAAGAACACAACATATGCCAGTCTCGACCACTTTTGGTCATTCTTCAACCCGGACTTCTTTGCCAATGTGTTCTCTTTGGAATCTTTGGGAAACTTTTATTCCAGAGAGGGAAAGGGTCCGGTTCTTTCTAGAAAGATCTTGCCTAATCCATCAAATCTGCATTCCTTATTATAGCTTATTCTTCTCACTTTTCCAAACACCCGCCTTCCCAGATTATGTCGTTCCTCTTTCTAGATTCTTATTATTATGATGTGTCTTGTGTTCTTAGCCGTTTTCATTTTATCGAAAATTCCAGAAGTTCCCTTCCAAAATGCTCCCAGACAGCCCATCGCCACGTGCCGCTCTTGCCTTGTCCGATTTGCAGCCACAGACCGGTGCCACCGCGAATTTCAGCATTGCCAGTTCATCAGGAAATTGGTAAGTAACTTAATTAAGGGTAATTAGCTTAAGTTAATTGAGCTCAAAAGGATGAGCTATGATGGACAGCCCTTGTACCTCGATAAACTTTGAATACGCTTATCTCTGTTACTATCAGAGATATCAAAAAGATGTCAACTATTAAAATGTTTACCATATTATCGTTAACATTTTATTAGTTAACAGCTTTTTGATATCTTTTATCGGAGCCGAGATAATTTAGCACTAGGATCGGTAGGCGCCACTTACCACAAGCACCTGTCTGTACCGCGCTTGCACTCTTTGAGATCAATTATCATGGTTTCTATAACAGTTATCAAAAAGTTTTTAACTGATAAAATATTTATCATATTATCAGTATCATTTTTTTAGTTGACAACGTTTTGATATCTCTTATAGGAACCGAGATAATTGAGCTTGATGATCAATCGGCACCGCTGACCACAAGCACCTGGCAGTACCGCGTTTCCACTCTTTGAGCTTGATTATCTCGGTTGCTATAAAAGATATCTACTCAGGGAATTTTGGGCAAGCAAACGGCAAGTTGCGAGCCATTTGGCAAGTTGCTGAGCAGAATCAGCAAGTTGCTGGACAAATTAGCAAGTTGCTAGTGCTTGCTGACCTTCTTCGAGGAGGGTCGTACATCAGCAAGTTGCCGCATGCATGAAACTTGCTTGCCGTTGCTTGCCGTGAACTTGCTCTATAAAATAGCAAGTTGCTGACCCGAAAAAACGACTTGCCGTTTGTCAGCGGCAAGCAAAATTTTCGGGTTAGCAACTTGCCAAAAAATTCCCTGAGTAAAAGTCGTAATTTGATAAAATGTTTTTCATGTAATCAGTAACATTTTATTAGTTTACAGTTTTCTAATATCTTTTATAGGAGCCGAGATAATTCAGCTTAAGGCTCAGCCGGTGCTGCTGGGCGCGTCAGCTGTACTCTTTGAAATTGCTTATCTCGGTTCCTGTGAGAGATATCAAAATTTTGTCAACTAATACAATGTCACTGATAATATAATAAACATTTTATCAGTTAATCACTTTTCGATATCGCTTATGGTAACCAAGATAATTAGGATCTAAAACACCATCCTTGCTAATTTCAGCCAGACCCAAACCAAAATATCCTTTATTCATTACATAAGCGCCTAACAAGTTTCTTACGTAACCAGTATAATAGTATCGAGAAGACAAGTCTCGGAGAGATCCAAAAGTCTGGCAGATTTCTCTAGTTACGTAACCGAACGGGTTCTCCTCATCCGAAAAGATCTTCTCGGCGGGTACGATCCATAAGCCTCATTGTCTTTTCTTTTCGCTCATGCCGAGAAAATGACAGTCTCGACAGGTTTTTATTGTCTAGATTATCAAGTTTTTTCGCTTCCCCCCTTTTCATCCGAAGGCATCAAGGAAGAAGACGTGTGGTCTTTAGCAAGCAATGAAATCAAATACCGGTGGTCGGAATAATTTAGATGTGTGGGTCCGAAGGTTGAGGGTGCTTAGACATGTATTTGATTTAAAAAATAATTAAAAAATGCCCAAAGGTTCTAGATCACTAAGACAGGCAGGGTTGCGACCACGTAGCTCAGCCTCCAGTTAAACTCCTAAAGGAGACCATGCGCCTTTAAATTAAGGAACCTCCTTAAATACGAAAATAATAATTCCAGGTCCACCCGAGGTGTCGGAGGTGTCAGCGGTGACTACATTGACAAGACCGGCGGTGGAATGTTCGGAAACAGCAGAAACAATGTGAGTTTGTGGGTACGGGTTCTTGGGTCCTGGGGTATTGAAATCCGGGGTCCTTAGGTCCTCGAGTCCGGGGTTTTTGGATCATCGGATCTTCGGATCCTTGTGTCGTCGGGTCCTGGGGCCCTTGTGTCACAGGTCCTCGGATCCTGGGATCATGGGGTTCTCAGGTCTACGGATCCTGGTGTCTTGAAATCTGGTGTTCTCAAGTCCTCTGGTTTCGAAGTCCGAGGTCCTCGGTGTCCTCGAGACCAGGGATTCAGGGATTCTCGGATACACGAATCTTCGAATCTTCGTCTTTGAATCTTCGAATCTTCGGATCCTCCGTGCCTCACATTTTTGGGTCTTCTGGTCCTAGTGATCTTGGGTATTTAAGCCTTGAGTACTTGGATCCTAGGTTCTTGAAATCCGGGGTTCAGCTCCCCGGATTCCCGGATCGTCGGATTTTTGGATACTCGGGCCCTGATTTCTTGAAATCCAAAGGTCTTTATGTTCTTGGGTCCTGTGATCGTGGATTCTCAACTCTTGAAATTCCAGTGTCCTCGGTACTTCCACATTGGGTCGTTGGATCCTGGGGCCATGAAGTACGGTGCCCCCGGCCCTTAGGTCTTTGAGTCCTGAGGTCCATAGAGTTGTTTGGCTCAAGATTTCGGATCCTGGAACTCTGGGATGCTGGGGTCCTGGTGTCATAAATCCTAAGATCCTCGGGTCCTCAGGCCTTGGAATCCGGGTCCTTGGGTCCTGGTGTCACGAAATCTTTGGATCTTCCGGATCCTAGGTTCTGGATGATCAGTGTTCTTCTGTCTCCTTGTTTTTTCACAATTAGTCAGTCTCTGTACTTCTTTTTTTCGCCGACTCGACGTCCTTGAGAAACGTCACGGTTCAGCTGATCATCAAGGACCTGGATGACACATTTTTTTGGATTTTTCAAGAATTTCAAGCAGTAACCATTTCTTAAGTTCAAAAGTTCTGAACTTCAGAAGGATCTTTACGACCCTTAGGATCCTCAGGGTTTTCTTAGATTCTGAGATTTCTAGATCTTTCGAATCTTTAGGATCCTTAGGGTTCTTAGAATATCGGTGATTCTGGATTCCACAAAAAGGATCTATGAGACATCTTGAAATCCAGAATCGAGAATTCTCCCTCTCTCGAAAATCTCCTTTTCACCTTTTCCATCCTTTCATCCCGAGAAAAAGAGAAAAAAGTGAAAGTGGGTGTTAATCAAGTTTATCACCTATATTCCTTGTCTCCATTGTTCCATTGTCTCTCTCTCTTCTCGGAAAAATCCGCCTCCTAATCACTTTCACCCGCCCCATCCTCCCTTTAATCCAAGCCTTCACCTCACTTCATTTTCCAGGACCGATTCGCATTCGGAAACAACAACTCGTCGTCTTCATCCAACAACTGCTTCTCGTCCACAAGCAATTCGTCGGGCGGTCTTTTTTCCAGTAAATAAGTTATCAAGTGAGTTGTGGCTAGCCTTCGGGTGAGCTCTGGGCAAGTTACCGGGGCTTAAGACAGTTTAGAGGGTCCATATAGTCATTCGGTTTAAGATCCTGAAGTCTTGAAGCCCTCAGGCTTTTAGAGCCCGATCCAAATGGTAGTAAGCGCGCTCCAATGAGAAGTTTAAGTGTCTGAAAATTTTCGAGTATACTAAACAAGACATAAGCTTCATTTTTGCAGTTTCCAACTTTTTTGTAAAATTTAGCCCTAGACAGATATGGCTTCAGCCGCCACCAAGCCGCCATTAAGCCACCTAGTTGCCTACCACATAGCTTCTTCCACGTGGCATATCTCATTAGGGCGCGTTTGTACAAAAACGTTGTCAACTAACAAAATAAAGCTCAACTAGACTAGGGGCCTTTATGCTGAACCATGCGCCTTTAAGCCCAAGCAAACAACTGTGTAGCTCTTTTCAAAATTCATTTTTTTTCAGAATGCGATCGGCAACCGGTATTACCCTCATCCTAATCTCGATTCTAACCATCATCCTTCCCAGTGTATATACTAGTGAGCCGAAGTTGCCCGATTGCGAGCAAATCCCAAAAGTTTTGTGCTGTACTCAACGTGTCTTAGGTAAGAGTATTATCCCCGGGACCCAAAATACCCTCTGAATTTGGAATTTCAGATAAATGTATGTCGGGTTGTATCGATCATGTAACCGAGAAGTGTCCACATAAATTGGAAAAATACGAGACAATTGACGACGAAGAGCCATCAACAACCACTAGAGCGCCAAAGAAAGAAGCAAAGAAGCAAGCGAGAGTCGTGGGACAAGTCAGACACCCCGAGGCTAACCGCGAGGTTGACCACGAGGTCAAGGAGCAGTTCATCGACTCCAAGGACATCAGAAGAGCACCACTTGCCGGTGACGCGAAGATGTTGAATCAGGAGTATCCGATCACGGAAGTCACCGATGCGGATTTGTCATCAGAGTGTGGAACAGAGAAATCGAATCCTCCATTCTCACCATGCTTGTCCAGAAAGTCCGCTGACGACGTCTTCTTGTCCTGCTGCCGCCAACAACTTCCATCCAACTGTCATAGCTTGTGTACCTATGAGCATCGGGAGCATGTTGCTGCGGAGACGCTTATTCAGGCCATCCAACAGGAACATTGTGATATGAAGGTGAGAGAGAGAGAGAGGCTAGAGTGACTCGTTGTCTGCGTCTTTTCAAAACCATGTATCTCGATTTCTAGACAAGCCAGAAATCTGATTTTTGTACTCAAAAAAAGCTCGAGCAATCAGAAATCTGATAATGTGCAAATCTGAATTTTTGCAAAACTAGCTGAAATCCAATGATTCAATAACCCCAAAAAGCACCGCAAACACTCATGTGCGCTCCACTGGGTATGACAACTTTGACCGTCTATATCTCGGTTACTGTAACAGATATCAAAAAGTTGTAAACTAATAAAATGCTGTTGATATTATGATAAACTTTTTGTTAGTTGACAACTTTATGATATCTTTCATGCGAATCGAGATAGGCAAGCTCAAAGTAAGTGCAGCTGAGCTACGTGGTTGGCGCCACCCAGATGCTTGCAAACTTTGAGCTCTATTATCTTGGTTGCTGTAAGAGATATAAAAAAGTTGTTAGCTAACAGAATGTTGTGTATATTATGATAACTATTTTATCAGTTGACAACTTTTTGATATCTTTTACACTAACCGAGATATATGGGCTCAAAGTTAGTATGTTCAATAGAGTGCACTTCCAATCCCAAGATTTCCACTCAAAACCTAAATTTCCAACATTGCAGTACCTCTCCAACATCCTCTACTGTGCCAACCAGAACCGTGACAATCGTGCGTGCTGCTCCCACCTAGGCATGTCAAATCCAGAGCTCGGCGTCGGCGATCGCTGTCTCCGAATGTGCAACATCGCTCCATCGGGCGATCGTGTCAGTTCTGTCGAGAAGGAGGATCTCGTTTGTCTATCGAATTGGAATGTGGTTATGTATTGCGCAAGAGGAGGTCTTCGTACCATCAATTAGAATATTCTGGAACTTTCTAGAACTTTCTAGAACCCCTCTCTTAATAATGCTTCTGGCTCTCTATGTCCCCTTAATAATTTCCAATTGTCTCTAATAATTTCCAATTCTTCCACATATACACTTCTTGGTCAAGATTGGAGAATGTTCTAGAAGTTCACTCTGTTGCATATCTAAAGCTAGAACCTTCTCGAATCCTATACTAAACCCGACATACATTTTGTTGTTCTCCTAAAACCTGTAATTTATCTTGGTTACTGTAAGAGATATCTAAAAATTGTCAACTACAAAAATGTTGCTGGCGTCAAGATAAACCACTTTTTAGTTGACAATTTTTTGATATCTCTTACGATAACCAAGATAAATTACAGGCTTTAGGTCCCCCTTCCTACGCGTGTATTATGATAACGCGTATCACGACTAATAATTGTTTCCTTATCGATTTTTATAGCCTAGCTTATTTTGGACCAAGTCCTTATATTTTTTCCCTCATTCCTTTTCTGTGCAACTTTTTTCCCCCACCGATTGCAATATTTGTGGTTTCAACTGTGCAAACGCGCTCTGTAAGACTTGCTAAATTTAAACAAGTGTATCTCTGTTCCTATGAAAGTTATCTAAAAACCGTCAACTAACAAAATGTTTGTTATGTTATGACAAGTATTTTATTAGTAGACAAATCTTTAATATCTCTTTCCGTAACCGAGATATAGCCGCTAAAGTTAACATGTCCAATAGAGCGCACTTGCACACTGAGACTTCCCCAACACCACACACATGTGACCCCGAAGAAGAACTCAAATTGTATGTCAGACAAGAAAAAAAAACGTTATCTGAATTTTTGTCTATTTTTCATCCCCAATTGAATTATATGTGTGGAGTTTTGAAGCGAATAAAAAACATTGAATTTCACTGAAAACTCTTTTTTAAAATTTGAATTTCAGCAATTTATTAAAAAGGGGTTTCAGAAGTTTTGAATAACTCGAAATCTTTAATTTTCCTGAATTCGATAAATTCTCAAAAATTATCAAATTTGTGATTTTCCGAATTTTCGGGGCTTTTTTCCAGAAAATCTCCAAATTATAGGAATTCTAGAAATTCAGAAATTTACAGATTCTAGAAATTCAGAAATTCAGAAATTCAGAAATACAGAAATTCGGAAATTCAGAAATTCAGAAATTCAGAAATTCAGAAATTCAGAAATTCAGAAATTCAGAATTTCAGAAATTTAGAAATTTAGAAATTCAGAAATTCAGAAATTCAGAAATTCTAGAAAATCAGAAATTCAGAAATTCAAAAATTCTAGAAATTCAAAAATTCTAGAAATTCAGAATTTTAGAAATTCAGAAATTCAGAAATTCAGAAATTCAGAAACCGAATCTCCAATTTTTTCGAAATACAAAAATTGCTGAGATTCTTAAAAATTTTCAAATTTTGGATTTTCAGAATTTTCGGGAACTTCTTCTCTGAAAATTCCCGATTTTTAGAAATTCGAATAAAATTAAAAATTCTGGTTCTTTTCGAAATGTTTGCCAAAAATTCAGAAAGTCGACAAATTATTTGAATTCTTAAGATTCTTAGGATTCTTAGGATTCTATAGATTATTAGATTCTTTTTGACGTGAATGTGAGTTGCGAAAAAATCTACAAATGGAAATTGTTTTGCTACAGTAACCTACAGTAATCCTCACGAATACCGTTCCATCAACATTCAGACAAAAAACCAGGAAACTCGATAATCGAAGTTTTCGAATTCCTGGACATTTTCAAAAATTCCAAAAAATACAAAAATTTGAAACTCCAAATTTTAGATAACTTCAAGCGATTCTAAATTTGTGGGATTTCTAAAATCTTGAAATGTCCGAAATTCCACTTCTTTTCGTAATTTTGGTAAGTCTGAAATTTCTAACTCAAATTTCTGAAAATAAGAAATACCATCTTCAAAACAAATCCCCCCAAAAATCCGCACGGAAAAAAGAACTGGATCGTTATATTTGCAACAAATTTGCAACAAATAAAAAACGAAAGTATAAATACATTCTTCTTCGTTTTTTTTCTTTTTCATTTTCTTCCGATCACATGAGATTTGAAAGGGATTTCAATAGGGATTTCGGAGTGTGTTTATTCAGAAAATGGACAAAAAAAACGAACATTACATAATAAAGTTTCACTTTTTTCTGTGTTGCGTAACTGAGAAAACGAGAATCTAAGAATCTAAGAATCTAAGAATCTAAGAATCTAAGAATCTAAGAATCTAAGAATCTAAGAATCTAAGAATCTAAGAATCTAAGAATCTAAGAATCTAAGAATCTAAGAATCTAAGAATCTAAGAATCTAAGAATCTAAGAATCTAAGAATCTAAGAATCTAAGAATCTAAGAATCTAAGAATCTAAGAATCTAAGAATCTAAGAATCTAAGAATCTAAGAATCTAAGAATCTAAGAATCTAAGAATCTAAGAATCTAAGAATCTAAGAATCTAAGAATCTAAGAATCTAAGAATCTAAGAATCTAAGAATCTAAGAATCTAAGAATCTAAGAATCTAAGAATCTAAGAATCTAAGAATCTAAGAATCTAAGAATCTAAGAATCGATTTTTCCAGATTTTTCGTTTGTAGGTTACTATAGGAAACTAATTTTCTGTATACCATCGCCTTTATTTGCAAACAAAAATCACATTTTTGACGTGATTTTGTTTGTAAAAAATCTACAGTATACAAGGAAATCAGTTTTCTACAGTAATCTACAGTAATCTTCACAGACACCGTTCTGAGAAATTCCAGACAGAATAATCTAAAAAAAAGCGAAAAAGAGCCCTCTAAAAGCTCTAAAATTTATAAAATCCCAGTAATTTCAAAAAATCAAGTTTCTAAGAATCCAAAAACCTTTTCGAATCTTCGAAAAATTCAAATTCTCAAGAATCTAAAAGTCCGAAAATCTCGAAATCCAGTCTTCTTTTCTGCCTGTCTTCTCTTCTGAATCACTCATGAATCACACAAAACACTTTGCTGAATACAAAAAGTCAATTCCCCTCCTCCTCGCCCAGCGGGAGTAAGTTCCACCGGTTTGAACATTGATCAGCGCTATTTTCGCAATTCAGAATTAGCATAAATCCTATTGGCAGACAAAGTAGAAAAAGAAGTGGGAAAAGTACGCAATCATCTGCTGCTCATGGTGTCATAAAAAAGCCAGTTCACTGTGTGGTTTTACTGACGGTTTCTCCGAAAAAAAGCGAAGAAGAATTGGCTGTTTGTAATCGTGTAATAGTGTGGTAGATATCCGGATTTTCTATACAGAATGTTACATATAGCTCTAGGCTCCGCCCCCCTCCTCCAGCTACATCGGAGGGTATAAAAGCTTCTACCTGAGGTAGGAATGACAAGTTTTTCTTGAATTCTTTCCTTCAAAATGCCATCCATCGTCGCTCAAATTTGCCAAGCTGTGAGTTTCTATTTTTTGCAAAATTTCAAAAAAAAAAACATTTTAGGCCCTTGTCATTTGCTTCGTGCTTCTCACAATCTCTACCAACGAATCAATGGCTTGTATTGGAGGCGGTGGAGGCTGCTGTATGACTTCCGGATGCCCCAACCCATGCGCCGGATTCGGAAAGAAATAATTCTTCCATTCAAAACCTTCAAAATTCCTGTATCTGATGTCTATATACAAATATATACACATATATAATGCAAATCAAATTTTTATGTTTCAATAAATATTTATTTCAACGTTAATTTCGTGAAAATTGCCATTCAAAAATGAAAAAATTGATTTAAATTCCGCGGAAAGTGTGCACTCCGACGCCTCAGTGTTTGCGGACTTTGGCGGGAACTTGAGATTTTTCACACTTTCCCGACTATTTTTTCAGGTTTTTTTTCTGGAAATTTCAGATATTTCCAGCGATTTTCAGCAATTTTCTGAAAAATATAAATTTTAAGACACTGTTGACAACCTATTTTATCCAGAAAATAGCTGGGAATCGTTTTTTTCAATGTTTCCGGAAAATGGATTTTCACTTATTTTTGCGATTTTTGCGATTTTCAGCCATTTTTAGGGGGATTTTTGGCGTTTTTTCAATGAATATGAGAAGGAAAATCAGCTTTCATACACTCTTTTCCACCAGATTTTCCTGAAAATCGCCGAAACTGGCTTTCTGTCGTTTTTCCGTAAATCTTATGTTTTTTATCATAAATCTACCAATAAACATCGATTTCGCAGCGTTTTTCTGACTTTCTTCGCTGAAAATTGCCTAAAATCATCAAAATTTCCAGAAAAAATGACCGGCCTGGAAAAGCAGCGAGTCGAGGCGAAATTCTTCGACCTGGACGAGATTATCGCCAAATCTGAGTCGACCTCCTGCACTTTCGACATGGCAGAGCTGGATCCAGGTTGATTTTTGGCCTAAAAATCGATTCAAAATTCAAAATTTCCAGGTTTTTTTCAAGAAATGATGGGGATTTCGAAGCCCACACAGAATGGCGATGGGTACGGCGCAGACGCTCCGCTGTGGCTTCTAGAGTCGATGAGGACACCATTTACGGTGAGATTTAGGCCTAAAAATGCTAAAAATTCCATTTCTCCGATTTGAAAACCCCAAAATTTGCAGATCCACCTCCCACAAGCGTTTAGTGTGAACATGCAAGGAGTCCTGAACGCTGACTCGCGGACAGTGAATCTGGCACGAATGCAGCAACAATTCTACACGAATGGAATGCAATTGTGCCATTTGATGAAGGAGCACAACGCCGAGGGAGCTCTGAATCTCGCCAAATGCCTGCTCTCCACGCTTACCCAACGTCTCGGCGGGATTCTTTCGAATTCGACGCATCAGCGAACGAAGGGAGAGAAATTCGATTGTCTGGAGACTAAGGTGTTTTTGGAGGGACGCCGATGCAAGGAGGACATCGATCAGTGGCTCAGACAGGACAACAAGGGCACCAGCAAGAAGCGAAAGCGAGAATCTTTTTAATTTTTTCGATTTTTTTCTTATTTTTCAACTGTAAATATCAATATTTTTGTGTCAGAGCCTTTGTGTGTATTAATACCAATTAATTTTGCGATAATAAGCCTGGTTTATTGCTAAAAAACGTGTTCTTTCTTCGCAAAAAATTGCAAAATAAAGTTCTGGCGCTATACTAACGCGCTCTGTCGCCAGCTTTTGAACGCGCGCGCTGAGTTAGATGTGCAGGTCATATAGCATTTTAGGCACGCCCCTTTGAATTCACTCGAGAAAGTTCATCGAATTTTGCGAGTTTTCGAGTTTTTTTGGCGGATTTTTGGATTTTTTTTTCGGTGTTTTCAATGAAGAAAAATTGCAAAAAAAACGTCAATTTCTTGAATTTTGCATCTAGAAATCTCAATTTTATCAAATTTTCCCCTGAATTCCGTTATTTTGCTATCTTTTTAGCTGAAGAATTCGTTTTCCCTCGTTTTCTAACTTACTACCTTCTGCTTTCATACAAAAATGATCCGCCACTCTATCTAAATATCGATTTTTGCAGGGTTCCCACATTAAACAATGACCGGAAGCACCGAGACTCGCCACAACGAGAAGGACGTTAAGGAGGTTTGTGTCCCTCACCGGCGACAATTTTTTAATCATGCAATTTTGGTTTCAGCCACAGGTCGACTCTGACGCCGACTCTGACAACGAGGCTATTGAGCACCAGCTCACCGAGGAGCAGAGACGCGTCGCTGAGGCCGCTGGACTCGGAGACCACATCGACAAGCAGGCTAAGCAGAGCCGCTCCGAGAAGAAGGCTCGCAAGCTCTTCTCCAAGCTCGGACTCAAGCAGGTCACCGGAGTCTCCCGCGTCTGCATCCGCAAGTCGAAGAACATCCTCTTCGTCATCAACAAGCCAGACGTGTTCAAGAGCCCAGGATCTGACACCTACATCATCTTCGGAGAGGCCAAGATTGAGGATCTTACCCAGCACGCCCAGATGTCCGCTATCGAGAACATGAAGCCAACTCGTGAGGCTCCACAACTCAAGACCGTCGAGGAGGACGACAACGAAGATGTTGAGGTATCGTTTTGTTTATTTTTTTGCTGAAACTAATTGTTGTTTTTCTAGGAGGACTCCACTGGAATCGAAGAGAAGGACATCGAACTTGTCATCTCCCAAGCCAATACCACTCGTAACAAGGCCATCAGGGCGCTCAAGGATGCCGACAACGACATCGTCAATGCTATCATGAGCCTTACCATGTAGCCTGTCTCCTGATGAACTTGCAGATACTCTTGTTATCCATTGTATCTCTCGCTTATCTTGTTTTCCGTTCTCAGTAAAAATTTATTGGATTTTACATCGATTTGTTTCTAATTTTCGACGACTACCACATCAGAAACGAATCTGTTGATACTTTTCAGACTCCTCTTTCTCTTCACACATTCCCCCAAACAATCGATTGCTTTGTTGTAACAACCATCCCCTCTCCCCATTGTTGCGCCTGCAGTCTTTACTCGAGCGAGAGCGATGATTCATTTCACCTCTGCTATCATTTTATCAGTTCAGTTTATCATTCCAGTTTCTTTTCATACAGCAAACATCGCTAGTAATCGGGGTGGTGCGAGAGAGAAACGCGACCAAGGAGAACATTCTCTTCTCAAAGCGCGCCCCAACAAACACGTTTGAATGCGCGGGGAGAGTGGCGTTAGATGTGCAGGTCATATGACAAACCCTCGCCGACCACTGCGGCTAGACGCTGGTTTGCGAGAGAGCTTTTATAGATTTTTTTTTCCAGTTTTTCACACTTTTTATGGCTTCCTTTTAGAGCTAGTAGATTCCAGAAGTGTTCAGGATTATATTGATCTATGATTTTTAAAGTGTAATTTTTGTTAAAGTCTGGAAATCGTGTTTTGAAAAAAATCTTTTTTCTGGTTTTTCTGTGACGTCACCAAAAATAGTCTCGAAATTGCGAAAGTGTTCCAGCCAGGGTTCATGATCGAATGGCTCGTAATGAACCGTCCCAACAGCCCAGCAGTTCCGGAAGTAACGGAACGTCATCGTCCACTTCAAACGGGTCAGCGAAACCATCAAAAATTACAGTAAAAAGTAAGAAAAATCGATTTTTCTCTGATCTATCGTTGTAATATCTGTAGTTGTCAACGCGTCGTTCACCAAACCATGCGACTGTTATGTCGAAATCATGAGTGACGCGCCATCGGCGGCGCCCAAAAAGACGGCGGTGAAGAAGAAGACGTCGGCGCCCGAGTGGAACGAGTCCGTCAACGTGCACGCCAACAACGAGTCCACACTCACTTTTCGCGTCTTCCAGAAGGCGAAATTGTTTGAGGATACGTGTCAGGGCATGGCAAAAGTCAAATTGACCAGTGTGCCAAGGAATGATAACGGGGAATGTAGGTTTTTGCATAGAAAAACCTAGAAAATCAGATAATTTTTCGCTGAATTCCAGTCAAAACCGACGTCATGAATGTGAATCTGTTGGGCAAAGACTCGTCGAAAGTGGGCACGATCAATTTAATTTTCACCGGGTATGCTGAGAGAAAGCGAAGAAGTGCTGGCGGTCAGCGGACCGTCGATGCGGCCGCCGCGGTTGGCTCCGAAGCATCTACCTCTAATGGAGTGGCACCGCCTGGGACGGCGTCTGGAAGACGGCCAGCGACGGCGAAGAGGGATACATTGACGGTGCCAGCGGTAAGAATTAATTTTGGGGTTTAGCCAATGAATTTTGATATTAAACATCGTGAAGTTTCGCCTGAAATCGGTAATTTTGACCCGAAAATTCCATTTTTGTAAGTCTGAAATTCGTGAATTTCTGCTTGAAAGTTGGTTATTTCGACATCAAAAATCGAAGTTATGACTTTTTCATGAAAATTTTCTTTTATGAAAATTTTCTAATCTCGACCTGAAATTCGCCATTTTCAGCTCCGAAATTGTTGAATTTCATCTTGAAAGCTCATCTTTTTGGCATGAAAATCTGTCACTTATCCTCTAAAAAGCCAATTTTCAAGCAGTAACTCTCTGATTTTCGCTCCTAACAATGCTAATTTTCAAGCTTAATTTTGCCAATTTTTTCGCCTTTTTTCCTCCGCCGCTAAAATCATAAAATCACTGAAAAAAAAACCATTGCGAACACCCCGTCGTCAGCTGAATCTACATAAAACATATGTAAATACCAAAGCGTGTCGTAGTCAAACACAAATAAACGTCACTACTCTCTTACCACCCATTTTTTATCTGGCGCTTTTTTTGTGTTTGCAGAATGAGCCGCGCGAAAATTGGGTAAAAATTGGCTGAAAAAAGGGGTAGAATAGGCGAAAATGGGCTGAAATTAGGCGAAAAATGAGCCTGAAATGTGTAGTGGATTTTGTAGTTTGTAGTCTAACCCATTATTTTTGTCAACAATTTGCTAAAAATGAGCTAAAATGACCCAAAAATCTGCTAGAAAAGAGCTAAACATGGCTCGAAATTCAGCTAAAATGAACCAAAAAATGACTGAAATTCTGCTAAAAATGAGTTTTCGAAGTGTAGTTTGTAGTCTAACCCCTTTTCAATTTGCCATTATTCTTCTAAAAATGAGCCAATGGCCCAAAAATCTGCTAAAAATTAGGCGAAAATTACCCGAATTTTGGTTTAAAAACGACTCAAAATTATGCTTTAAATGAGTCCTGGATTTTGTAGTTCGTAGTCTAGCCCATTATTTTTGTCATTAATCTTCTAAAAATGAGCAAAAATGGCTCAAAAATCTGCAAGAAAGAAGCTAAAAATCGACTGAAATTCTGCTAAAAATGAATTCTAGAATTGTAGTTTGTAGTCAACATATGGCTCGAAAATCTGCTGCTTAGGCTTAAAATGAGCCAAAAATGAGTCGCGGAAAATTGTAATGTAAAATTTGAATTTTGTAGTTGGTAGTCAAAAACAAGACTCGAAATTCGGGCAAAAATAAGACCCAGAATTTGTAGTTTGTAGTCTAACCAATTATTTTTGCCAACAAGCTGCTTAAAACGAGCTAAAATGGCTCAAATATCTGCTAGAAAAGAGCTAAAAATGAGCCAAAAATCACCACGATTCTGCTAAAAATGAGTCCTGCATTTTGTAGTTTGTAGTCAAAATTATGACCCGAAATTAGATTAAAAATGAGACTTAGAATTTGTAGTTTGTAGTAAATTTTTCCCATTTTTTTCAGAATGGCGCAGCAGTCAACGGCTCGTCCGCAACACCAGCGACCGCCGCGGCCGAAGAAACGCTTCCAGAAGGATGGGAGATGCGATTCGATCAATACGGAAGGAAGTACTATGTGGACCATACCACGAAAAGTACCACCTGGGAACGACCATCCACTCAACCATTGCCAGCCGGTTGGGAGATGAGAAGAGATCCGAGAGGAAGAGTGAGTTGGAATTTGGGGAGTTTTAGAGCTGAAAATGGGCTGGAATTTGTCCGAAAATGATCGAAAACTGGCCAAAATCGGTCTGTGAAATAAGCTAAAAATGGTTGAAATCAGTTGATCTTGGTCCAAAAATCAGATTTTTCGAAATGTCTATTTATCAATGAATCATGCTTCACCAGTTGTTTATTCAACTAATTTTGAGTCATTATCATATTTCAAACAAAATAAAAGTTTGATTACCGTATTGTGTAGCGTAGTAGGTGTTTTACCACTGCTGAGAAACAGGTGCATTTTCTAGAAATGTGACTCTAGAACGTCAAATAATTGGCTGAAAATAGCTGAAAAATGAACCTGAAACATATGAAAATTGCCTGAAATTTAGGGTAATTTAGGTAGAAAATTGCTTAAAAATGGCTTAAAATAACTCCGAAATGACCAGAAAACGGCTGAAAATTGGCTGAAAATGAGCTTAAAATTCAGTGGAAATAGCCTGATATTGATTTTTGAAATGTTAAAATAGTGGGAAAAGGACTCTTGAATGTCTGAAAAATGGCCTAAAATTGGCTAAAAATTAGTTGAACATAACCCGAAATTTACTGAAAATTGCCGGAAAAAACTGACTTGAAATGGCTGAGAATAAGTTTAAAATAGGCTAAAAATGCCTCAAAATTATCGAAAATCGACTGAAAACCAGCTCAAAATGACCAGAAAATTGGCTGGAAATGACTGAAAATGAGCCTAAAATTCAATCAAAACAGCCAGAAATCCATTTTCGAAATGTCGAAATTGTCGAAATATCACTGAAAATTGGCTTGAAATGACTAGAAAATGACTGAAAATAGATGAAAATCCATTTTTGAAATTGTCAAAAATTGCCTAGAAATTAGTTGGAAATTGGCTTAAAACGGCTAAAGTGGCTAGAATTCAGGTTAAAACTGTTCTTATCGCTTCAATGTTGATAGAAATCCGACAAGGAATAGGCTTAAAAATGACCAGAAAATCACTGAAATTAGCTTTAAAATCACTAGAAAAGTGTTGAAAATAGCTTCAAAATAACCAGAAAGATGGCTGAAAATTGGCTTTAAATAGCTAGAATTCCAGTAGTGAAAACCTGACAAGGAATCAGCGAAAATGACTAGAAATTGACTGAAAATAGCTCCAAACTAGCCGAGAATAGCTCTAAAATGAGCCTAAAAAACTGAAAATTGGCTTAAAATGGCTGAAAATCTGCTGAAAATACCCCCTAAACATCCACTTTCCAGGTCTACTACGTCGACCACAACACCCGAACGACAACATGGCAACGGCCGACCGCGGACATGCTCGAAGCCCACGAACAATGGCAATCGGGCAGAGACCAAGCGATGATGCAGTGGGAGCAGCGATTCCTCCTCCAACAGAACAACTTCAACGCCGACGATCCGTTGGGACCGCTTCCCGAGGGATGGGAGAAGCGACAGGATCCGAACACGGGCCGAATGTACTTTGTGAATCATGTAAATAGAACAACGCAATGGGAGGATCCCCGGACACAGGGTGGATCGGACCAGCCGCTTCCCGATGGATGGGAGATGAGATTCACCGAGCAAGGCGTGCCGTTCTTCATCGATCATCACTCCAAAACGACGACTTATAACGATCCGAGAACGGGGAAACCGGTGGGACCGCTGGGTGTGGTTGGGGTGCAGATGGCGATGGAGAAGAGTTTTAGATGGAAAATTGCACAGTTCCGGTATTTGTGCTTGGTAAGGAATTCAAGGATTACTGTATCTAGTGCTACAAGGCCTACTGTATCTAGTGTTACAAGGATTACTGTATCTACCATAATTTTAGATACTTTAAAATCCCTTAAAACCCATTATCTTCCAGTCGAATAGTGTGCCGAACCACGTGAAGATCACCGTCTCGCGTAACAACGTCTTCGAAGACTCGTTCCAAGAGATCATGCGGAAGAACGCCGTCGATCTCCGCCGACGACTCTACATTCAATTCCGCGGCGAAGAGGGTCTGGATTACGGTGGTGTGGCTAGGGAATGGTTCTTCCTGCTCTCTCACGAGGTGCTCAATCCAATGTACTGTCTGTTCATGTACGCTGGAAACAACAATTATAGTCTTCAAATCAATCCGGCCTCGTTTGTCAATCCCGATCATTTGAAGTATTTCGAGTATATTGGACGATTCATTGCAATGGTAATTATTGGTTTTTTAAGCCTAAAATTATGAATTTTGGGACCTAAGAATGGTCCAAAAACACTGAAAATCCCAATTCTTCCAGGCTCTTGACTCTAAAATTAGGCTTAAAACGCTCCCAAATCCCTGAAAAATCCAATTTTCAGGCTCTCTTCCATGGCAAATTCATCTACAGCGGTTTCACGATGCCATTCTACAAAAAGATGCTCAACAAGAAGATCGTGCTCAAGGACATTGAACAAGTCGACTCGGAAATCTACAACTCGTTGATGTGGATCAAGGATAACAACATTGACGAGTGTGACATGGAATTGTACTTTGTAGCCGACTACGAACTGCTCGGCGAGCTCAAGACGTACGAGTTGAAGGAGGGAGGAACCGATATCGCGGTTACTGAGGCTAATAAGGTAGGGTTTTGGGGCTAAAAAATTCTCGAAAAGGTCATGACCTAATTTTATCTAGTTCATGACCTAATTTTTCTAGGTCACGACCCAATTTTATCTAGGCCAAGACCTAATTTCTTCTAGGCCATGACCTAATTTTTTCTAGGTCATGACCCAATTTTTCTAGATCATGGCCCAATTTTATCTAGGTCATGACCTAGTTTTTTCTAGGTCATGACCTAATTTCTTCTAGGCCATGACCTAATTCTTCTAGGTCGCGACCCAATTTTTCTGATTTTCGACCTAAAAATGGTTTTTTCTGAGCTGAAAAATGTCGATTTTGGATCCCAAATTCGGCCAATTTTGGGTTGATTTAGTACTTCAAAAAATGCTAGATTTCGAACCCGAAAATTTCAATTTTAAATCTGGAATCGCAAAAATCATTTGTTTGTGATCCAAAAATGCCGATTTTTCACTCAAAAATTGTATTTTTAAACTCTAACGAATCCCTAAAAACCTCCATTGTTTTCCAGTTGGAATACATCGAACTCCTGGTCGAATGGCGTTTCAATCGAGGTGTCGAACAACAGACGAAGGCGTTCTTCACTGGATTCAATTCGGTGTTCCCATTGGAATGGATGCAATATTTCGACGAGAGAGAACTCGAATTGCTTTTGTGTGGAATGCAAGATGTGGATGTTGATGATTGGCAAAGGAATACGGTTTATAGGCATTATGCTCCGCAGAGCAAACAGGTAAGAGGATGAAATTGATTTCAAAATTATATAATTTGTCAAAAACGTTTCAAAACGGATCTGAAAATGTGGGAAAAATGAGCTAGAATTTATCATAAAAACTGCAAAAATTTTGGCTTAAAATTATCCAAAAATTAGCTAAAATCTGCTAAAAAATGACTTAAATTTTCCTGACAATGGTCAAAAACAGTTTAGAAATCGTGAAAAATGAGCCCTGATTTTGCTGAAAATCGGTTCGAAAAAATGCGGAAAAATCAGTCAAATTAGAAAAGTTACGGTAGTTTTTCAGTTATGGTAGTTTAAAGGCGCATAGTGTAATGGAAAGTTGGAAGTTCGCCGAAGTCCGAGGATGATCTGAAAATGGCAGAAAAATCATATAAATTGTGTAAAAAAACGACTGGAATTCGACGAAAAATGATAATTAGGATTACGGTAATTTAAAGGCGCATAGTCAATTTTTTTTTAGAAATTTCGCCCTAATCTGAGAATTGTTTGAAAATAGCCTATTTTTTAAAATTTTCTCCGAAAAATCCGTTTGAAATGGATTGAAATTCGATGGAAAATAAGCTAAATCAGCAAAGTTATGAGAATTCGGGTTACGGTATTTTAAGGCTAGTTTATCTGAGGGATACGGTAAATTAAAGGCGCAGTTCACCGGAAAAATTCGCCCGATCTGAAAATGGCAGAAAAATGATTTAATGGTGGAAAAAAACGGCTGGAAATTGATGAAAAATAAGACAATTTCGAAAAGTTATGAGAATTTGGGTTACGGTAGTTTAAAGGCGCACTAGTTGAAAAATATAATTCCAGGTCTCCTGGTTCTGGCAATGGGTGCGCAGTTTGGACCAAGAGAAACGTGCTCGTCTCCTTCAATTCGTCACCGGAACGTGTCGTGTGCCAGTCGGTGGCTTCTCGGAGCTCATGGGCTCCACCGGCCCTCAACTCTTCTGTATCGAACGTGTCGGAAAGGAGAACTGGCTGCCGCGGTCCCACACGTGCTTCAATCGACTCGACCTTCCACCGTACCGATCCTATGAGCAGCTCGTTGAGAAGCTTAGTATGGCTATAGAGATGACTGAAGGATTCGGAAATGAGTAGTAGACTCCAGAATTATCATTTTGTGTCTTTTTTGTACTTTTTTAAAATCTGATTTTCGCTGATAAAATCGACATTTAAAGGCGCATGTGTATTTTTGAGATTTTTTTGATTTTTGAAAATTTCCAAAAATCAAAGAAAATATTGTTTTTTTTGGACCCTGTGCCTTTAAAAATGAATATTTTATCAAAAAAAAACCGCCACCAGCCTCCTGACTCCGCCCCCTTTTTGTGATACTTTCCCCCGCGTTTCGTGTTGTGATTCATTCTAAAAACAATCGTAGTCAATGTCTTCTTTTTTCTCCTGATTCCTTCCTTCCTTTTTTTCTGGGTATGTACTTAAAAATTTCCATTTTTTTCTCCCACATTTTTTGTAGTCATCATTTATTTCTGGAATTTTCTGGCTCCGCCCCATAGATGCCTTATTTTCCCCGCACGTTTTCCACATGGTTCTACACACAGAATATTCCTGACTTTTATTGATTTTTTTGTCTTAAAATTCATCTTTCATGCTTCCTCTCCCCCTAAATCGACTAGATCCATTATTTTCTTTATTTGTTCTTTGCTTTTTTGAGAATACCCGAAAAAATGATTTATAATGAAAAATAATTTTGTAGTTTTTTTTAAATTTGATTTTCAGGTATCCTGGAAATGTGGATCCAGCAAATCCTAATTTAGAAAATTACAAAACTTTTAGAATTGTAACATTTTTAGAACAGCGACATTTTAGAACTGCGAAATTCTAGAACTATCTCACACAGCACCCTGAGCTTCCAAAAGTCACCAGTTGCGCGTCATATTGCGCACGCGAATCGCGCCAGAGGTCCTCTTGGCGCAACAAGGGATTTTTAATTTTTTTGCTGAAATTTCAGTTTTTTTCAAATTAATCCGTTTTTTCGCATTTTTTTCAAAATTCTGGTTAATAGAAATTGTAGAGCAGTTCGAAATACATCGAAAATGGGCAAATTCTTAAAAATTGGTCGTCTCCCTAACCCTATGTGCTCTTTTTAAGAAAAAAGTTACTGTTCGATGTACTTCTGAGTGCTTTTCAGCTTCTAAATATTCGCTTTTTCACTTTTATTTCTTTGTATTGACTATTCCTCGCATGAAAATAATTTTTCAGATTCCAGACGATCTTCACACAACTTTTTTTTTTCGAATTTTTCAGCCAAAAAGGAAAATCAATGAAAAGCAGGAATTTGCGGTTATTCAACAATTACAGACTCGTACTTCTCCGCCAAACTCGTTTTCAGATCGAATTCAACATCTGAACAACCAGAAGTCATCAAGAAATTCATGAAAACACCTTCTTTCTCAATATTTTAGTTCTGTGTTTGTATTCGTGCTCTTTTACGGCCTAATATATATGTTCAGGCAACTCCCTTCCCTTTTAACCTACTGACCTAATTGTTTTGAAACTCTTCTCGAGCACTCTACCCGTGCTTTTATGTTTCTTTTTTGTTCTGCAATTTGACTGATTTCAGCCGATTTCTTATACAAAACAACAGGAATCAATACTAATTTATTTTTTCTTGTCATAAAAAGTTTTCAAAAGAGAATCATTGTTTTTCCTCGAATGACTTTATCGAAGATTATCAGGATGCCGGCTTTTGGCTAAATTTTGGTTGTGCAGATGCTGAATTCGATCTGAAAACGAGTTTGGCGGAGAAGTACGAGTCTGTAATTGTTGAATAACCGCAAATTCCTGCTTTTCGTTGATTTTCCTTTTTGGCTAAAAAATTCGAAAAAAAAAAGTTGTGTGAAGATCGTCTGGAATCTGAAAAATTATTTTCATGCGAGGAATAGTCAATACAAAGAAATAAAAGTGAAAAAGCGAATATTTAGAAGCTGAAAAGCACTCAGAAGTACATCGAACAGTAACTTTTTTCTTAAAAAGAGCACATAGGGTTAGGGAGACGACCAATTTTTAAGAATTTGCCCATTTTCGATGTATTTCGAACTGCTCTACAATTTCTATTAACCAGAATTTTGAAAAAAATGCGAAAAAACGGATTAATTTGAAAAAAACTGAAATTTCAGCAAAAAAATTAAAAATCCCTTGTTGCGCCAAGAGGACCTCTGGCGCGATTCGCGTGCGCAATATGACGCGCAACTGGTGACTTTTGGAAGCTCAGGGTGCTGTGTGAGATAGTTCTAGAATGTCGCAGTTCTAAAATGTCGCTGTCTTTTCCAACATTATCTACACTTATTATGTCCAGGATACCACTGTGGAAAAACATCAGTGGACCAGTGATGGTAAATCTTGTGGATGGCAGGATTATTATAGCGTCTGCACCCAATCAAGACCCTGACTGCCCAGCATTCGAATTCACTACCCAACATCATATTCTGTATGTTCCATGCCCGTTTCCCTTTAATTGTTCTAACTAGGGAAGGCCCCAACTCGGGTGTGGCGATACGGGTGGTGACCTATATCTTCTGAAAGCTGACATTTTCCTGATTCCAAATCTGTTTTCAAAAAGTGCTTTGTCGCGGTAGTTTTCGAGAAAATTGGGTCGAAAGTTTCGAAAAATGACGTGGATTTTCAATCTCATTTTCCTTCCTCACGTATATAAGTTTTACTGTGTTGAAAGAATGTGGAAGCGTGGTCGAATGGTTAGTGAGGAAGATAATGAAGCGGGTAATCTCTGGTTCGACTCCCTCGAGCTGCTAAACTTTTTTTGAATTTTTTCTTCGTTTTTTTTCCGGTTACTGTATCTGACTTCTAGGTGATCCTATATGGTTCCATATTCTTGAAATTGGTTTCCATTTTGATTTTAACTGTTTTAACTATTATTTTCGAAACTTTTTGTTTTCTTCTATTTTTCCACAATTTTTTTTTCATAGGATTGTGATCCATTGAAGATTCTAGACAAACCGCATATTTTTGATTTTGCTAAACTATAGTTGTTGATCCTTTAATATTGTTAAAAGTATTTCGTATGCTTTTCTACAATCTAAAGAGGTTTTCTCTTTTTTTTTTCGGAAATTTTTTTTGAGAAAATCGACATGGGGTCCCTTGGCATTTTTTCAATTTTCGAAAAAAATTTTATTGTGCTAGAATTAGTTCAAAACAAAGAAAACCAATAAAAAAAGTTGTTTCACGAGATTCAATAACCTATGTTCATTTCTACAAGTCAGATACAGTAACCAGAAAAAAAACGAAGAAAACATTCAAAAAAAGTTTAGCAGCTCGAGGGAGTCGAACCAGAGATTACCCGCTTCATATTCTTCCTCACTAACCATTCGACCACGCTTCCACATTCTTTCAACACAGTAAAACTTATATACGTGAGGAAGGAAAATGAGATTGAAAATCCACGTCATTTTTCGAAACTTTCGACCCAATTTTCTCGAAAACTACCGCGACAAAGCACTTTTTGAAAACAGATTTGGAATCAGGAAAATGTCAGCTTTCAGAAGATATAGGTCACTACCCGTATCGCCACACCCGAGTTGGGGCCTTCCCTAGTAAGAATTCTGATAATGAGAATGAGCCTAAAAAGCTCGAAATTGAAAGTTGTTTACAGTTTAAAGGTGGGGGGACATGAAAAAAATAATGTTCTCGAAATTCCGTTCAAAGATGCCCCTCGAGGAGTTGAACTTGTGAGGGCGATGATTGAGGGTGCGGCGCCGCTACCGACTGAGCCACGCGGGCAAAGAGAAAGCGCACGCCCGATTGCATACATAAAGGCGAGGGCGACAGCTGTACGCAGAGTGGCATTAAGCGTTGTACACCGTGACGGTAGAATGCATACTCTAGCTACAAAAAAACTACGAAAAATCTCCTGTCCACCTTTAAAAGTGAAAATTCGACAAAAAATTTTCAGAATTTCGAAAATTTCAGGGGGTCCTAAACTTATTGGACGCCTGAAAAAGTGACTTTTTGAGTGTGACACTTAAGAACAGCGACGTTTTAGAACTGGGACATTTTAGAACTCCAGTCGTTTCTCTGCGCCTCTCCCCCTCTCTTCAGGCTTCTCATTGGTCCTTCTTCTCCCCCATAATATATCCCACAGAGCTTGATTGCTCATCCTTCTTCTTGTGTTCCACACAAAAAGAGTCCCTCTCTCTGCGCCTCTCTCTCTCTCTCTCTCTCTCTCTCTCTCTCTCTCTCTCACTTCCTTCTCCCCATCCATTCATTTATTTCGATTTGAAACCGCGCTTGTTTCTTCTTCCTTGCTCTTCTGATCTTTCGATTTTTATTTAATTTTTTAAAAATAAAAGTTATAAATATTATATAAAATCAAATTTTAGAATTTTAAAAGATTCGAAAATTTTTTTTTCAAAAAGTCAAAAAGAAAAGAAACAAGAGAGGGGGACTCTAAAATTGATTGTGTTTTGGTGGGGTGTCCTTGAGAAAAGAAATTTTTGGGACACTTTTTTCTTTTTCGTCTTCTTCTCTGTGCTGCTCAAAAGGGACCATTGAGCAACATTTTCATTCCCCCTCATTTTCTCTGCGTCTCTTCTTTCTCACTTTCTCTTTTCTCACTAATTGCAATGGACCAATAGATAGATATTCTAAACATTTTATTCAACTTTTTTCGTTTTCCGATTAATTTTTGTCTTGTTAGAAATTTCTTTTTCTGGCAATTTTTTGTTAATTTTTTAAGAATTTTTTTTTGAAATTTGAAAATCTAAATTTTTATTGATTTTTCTATAAGAAAACTCAGTATTATTTTCGAATTTTAAGATTTCCCTCAAAGTTTAAAATTTGAATTTCTGAATTTCTGAATTTCTGAATTTCTCTAGAAAAAACTCGGGATTCTTTTGAATTTTAAGATTTTCCTCAAAGTTGAAAATTAGAATTTTCTCGTTTTCTCTGCGTCTTTCTAGAGTTTTTAGCGCTTTTTTCAGAGGTTTTTGAATTTCACTGAATTTATCTGAATTTATCTGAATTTCTGAATTTCTGAATTTCTGAATTTCTTTTTTTTTTAATTCATTTTTTTTTCTTTTTTTTTTAATTCAGAAGATTTCAGAAATTCAGAAATTCAGAAATTCCAA